TGCCTTATTAAATACTTCCATATTTTTTCACATTCTGGAAAGTCCTTACAGAATAATAATAATAATAATAATCATGTTTACTCAAATGTAATTTCATCTTTCTAAAGGATTAAAATTTCAATTAATTTAGTTCTGGAGAAGCAAAGGAAAAAAAGCCTGGGTTTAGATCACAAATACATCTCAAATTGATGGGAGAAATAGGATTATCTATCTTCTTGAGGGGCATGGAGGGGAAAGCTAGCAGCTGTTGTTGACTATCCATTATAGGACCACACAAGAAATGGTTTGATGGGAAACACAGGCTCAGATTATAAGCAAACAAACTGTACAGTGTGTTCCAACATTGCATACTGTTATGTGTACACACATGCGCGCGCGCGCACACACACACACACACACACACACACACATATATATAATTGGTTTATATAAAATTTGGTTTTGAGTCCTAAGAAGTGTTCTAGGAATACAATGGACAAGCAAGAAAGCAAATAAATGTACCATTGAACAAAAGAATCTAGAGTTTTCACTTGAGGTACAAATATTCAGCTTCATAGTCTAATTTGGACACATTATGGGAAGATCTAGCTTTCTGATGAAAGCACTAATGCTGGGAAAGGTGTATGGAAAGAGAGGAAGAAGATGACTAGTAGCAAAGTGGATGGGCGCAGTTAAAATGGCAATAAGTGCACCTTTGGATCAAAACCTGAAAGATCAGATTTGGAACAGATCATCATGGAGAAAAATCTATGCGGTACTTTAAAGCCAATATTGGCCTGATTGCATGTAATCAAGTCAGTATATAAAGCTCCTTAACTCTGCCTATGGTTTATTCTTTATTATTGTTTTTTTACTAAATGCAGTAAAATAATATTATATGCATATGATGAAGTTTTGTTAGTCAGAAAAGGTGTTACCAGACGCCTTCTGATTTTTTGCCCCCGTAGATTAACACGGTTCTCCTCCTACAATGACTAAATGGAAGTAACTGTTTAAAAGTGGGCATTTGCCAGCATGTTTATATAAGCACCAAATGCATTTTAGCATCTCCTGGGCATTTTTCTTAATATAATTTCATTAAAGATTTTTAAAAAGAAAATAAAAACTCATTAAAACTAATATAAAATACGGAGGAGGAGGAAGAAATCAAAGACAAAGCCAAAAATGCAAGAAAGAAAAATTTAAAAAAAATAGAAAAGAAACATGATACAAGAAGTAATTTCCAATTTTCTTTATAGCACTTACAAGTACAACTATAAGTTTACCATAAATCATAAGGGTTCCCTCCCCACCCGTCTCATACAAGGAGTCTATAAGGGGTTTCCAGTATGTAATACTTGTAGGTATTGTCTCTTCTCTGATCAAGAAAGTCAGTTTGGCCATCTGAACAAATTCCATCATTTTCACCAACCATTTCTCCATTCCATCTCTCTGACTTTTAAAAACATGTAAATGTCATTGTCCTCTCTTCCTCTACCAGGACTGTTCAGAAGAATAAAGTAATGCTAATTCAGCACTGAATTAGCAGTCAACTCTATCCATTCTTTGTTCTTTCTGGTTTTGGGAAGCTGACCTACTTCATGGGCAAACAGGGACAATTCTTTAGAAATGCCTCTGACGTGATAAATTAGACTCATTGTACCTTAGCCACTTCTCCGAAACAATTGCAACACTCCTTCTCCTTAAGCCATGAATACGTTAAGCTATCATTCTGGGAGAACCATAAGTAGCCCTGTGGTGCAAATTACACTTTGTTCAGAAGGCACAAACAGATCTCCAGGGTACGATGAAAAGGAGTACATTGTATACTTGGGTAGTCTGAGCCCTGCCAACTGTCACAGATTTTAGTGACATGGAAGAAAAAGAGCCTCACACAGCTCATCAATGAGTTGACAAGTTCTAAAAGGGTTCATTCTCTAGGGACAAAAATAACATTTTTTTAAAAATTCACAGCAGGGCTTTCGCCTACACACACACTGTACCAACTAAAACCTGTGGGGAGAAAATGTAAAACGCGTTATGTAAGCGTAAATAAAATCAGGCTTCTATGGTTAACTGATTTTAGAGTTGTTTGCCCTCTTTTTGGATAGTATCCTCTTTGATGGTATACATACGGGAACTGTTTCCACAAAACACCAAAAGGAAATTGTGTGATCCAGGCAACCATTGTTACTTTGTAGGAACACTTCAGGGGCTTCCTACAAGCCAGAGATATCATCCTCTTCTTAGTGAGGCTGGAAAGTCAAGACCAGTCTAATTGAAGATCAGCATTTCACTGCTTATCAGAATGTGTCTATATGAGTCTGCCTACAATCCTTCAGCATCTCTGCTCCAAGGAAGCCCCAGGCAAGCAACACTGCCTAGCATTTAAAAGGGAAAGGCACTAGTCCAGAAAAGAGAAGAGAAATAGAAATTAGCACCAGAGTCTGGAAAAAATATTCTCTTTAAAAGCAACTTTCACAAGCTTAGTCCTATGTTTGGCAAGGTAGACAGGAAGAGAGGAAGGGGGAAAAATATATAGTTCCAGGCAAATGCATAATGGATCTTAGAAAATTCAAACCAGTATCTTGCTCCTGCAGTGACCCAACAAATACCCATGAAAATCCTTCAAGCATCACCAAACTCTCATATTCTGTGTCAGTTGGTATTCAAAGACACATATTGCCTCAGAGACTGAGGGTAATACATAATATTTAGGGCTGAGCACTCTTTGAAAGTGACTCAGAAGAAGTGTTTTGGACCACGTCAAAGCATAATCCCTCTCTGCAATGCCTCAAAGTAGTTCCTGTTGCCCAAGACCTCTGCCTGAGCCTTAAAAAAGGTACAACTACTTTAAGGAGTTGATTCATTGAAATGAATATTTTAAGGAAGCCAAACTTTCTTTTTTCAGACTTGCCTAAGAACCAAATATCCTAATTTTTCCAGATTGCTAAATTCTTCTTCTTCTTCTTTGAGATCAGAAGCTTAATAAACAAAGCAAGTGTCAACATAACTAAAATATAAGATGGTTTTAAAAAATCTGCTGGACAGACCAGCAATCAGCTTCATTCAGTCTCTGTGTCCTCTCAGGGGCCAGCCAGATGCCACTGAAAATTTGTAAACCATTCATCTTTATCTTCAACCCTTTGTTTTATGGTTTGAATATGAAGATTTAATTTCATAATCGTAACCTAAAATATCAAGATGGTAGATAGTTTCTTCCTTTTAGGATCAACCATCCACACTATAGGAACCAGCTATGTTCCCCGGTAGCACTTGGCAGAATGGCCCTGAAGACTTTGGAAAAGGTATCCAGATGCTCTGATGTATCTACACCTTCAAAGATCAGAATATTCCATGCAATTCTCTGTCAGAATCTATGAAAGAAAAAGTTGTACTTTGAAGAAGCAGGATCAGAAGAGTATTGAGCCTCTTAAAGTTTGGTTTTGGAGAAGACTCCAGAGAAATTACTTTAAGGCAGCCAAGAAAACAAACAAATGGATTAGTGAGCAAATCAATCCCAACTTCTCACTTGGAGCTCAAAGGACCAGGTTCAAAATATCCTACTTTGGACACATTATGTGAAGACTTATTTATCTGAAAAGGCTCTGATGCTGGAAAAGGTGGTAAGAAAGAGAAGAGAATGATTGTATGCGCCATTTGAAGACCTGAAGGACCACTTTAGGAATAGCAATGACACTAGTACTTAGACTTATATACTGCTTCCCAGTGCTTTACAGCCCTCCCTAAGTGGTTTAACATATTAACGAATGTACCTTTTCTTTATGTATACTGAAAGTATTGACACCAAGACAAATTCCTTGTGTGTCCAATCACACTTGGCCAATAAAGTATTCTATTCTATTCTATTTCCCCCCAACAATCTGGATTCTCGTTTTACTGACCTCGGAACATATGGAAGGATAAGTCAACCTTGAGCCTGGTGAGAATCAAGCTTCTGGCAGTTGGCAGAATTAGCCTGCAATAGTGCATTCTTACCACTGCGCCACCATGACTCATTAGAGGTGATAGATCATCAATGAAAAATTATCTATGTAATTGCTAAGAGCCAACACTGGCCCGAAAGAACATCCCCAATCCATGCATCAATCAATCACCATGATTAACACACATTAATAGATTAATGAACAGTTTTTTCTTAAAAAAATAAATTCAGCTAGAAATCATCACATTTGTAAAAATTAATTCTGCCATTATGAAGAAATTCAAGCATCTGCTCCACAAATAGTAAGATTTTAACTATTTGTGAGCTAATCATAAGTATTTGCATAGTTTGATTTACATACAAATTGACACATGGAAGCAACTTGCAATTATTCTTCTGTATTTGAATAGATCTATAGATGAACAAGTGCTCATCTGCAGTACACTTAAAATTTCAGAGAAGAAAATATGCATTGTGAAAAAACTATATAAGAGCAGTCATTCAGCGGAAGTAAAGAGATCTGTCAATCAATGTAAAATTCAGCTCTTATCAACTCTTTCTGCATATATAAGACTATGCTCTTAGCTCAAGCAACATTCACACAGCCTTTACTGATGCCCCTGCCCACATATACAAGATGTTTGGCTTTATACATATTCAGGGGGTGGGGGGAAATCTTCATTTTAACTCTGATAAAAATAATTGTCCCAGGTCTTCCGTATCCACACCCAAAACAGGCACTAAAGTGATCAGGAGGCAACTACAGTCTCCAGGGAGAGAAGAATCCGCAATTGCTTTCTGAGAGCAACAACATTATATATGATTATTTATGGTCAGCATTCCATGAGTCAATAGCAAATACAGAACAATTTCATCCTTAAGCGATTCTTTTCCTTGAGTAAAGAGCAATTTCATCTTTGGTTAAATAAGGAGAATGTATATCCTTCCCACTAGTTCCTGAATGGCATAGTTTAAGTATCTTTGCTGCAACCTACTAGAATGACTAATTGCACATTGAGTACCATCTCATGTCATAACATTTCAAAGGAAGGGACTATGTCAAATAGCGGTTGCAAAGTCTGCCCAGAATCAGCAATGTTGGTGCTGAAATTGGGGAAAAGATGAAGTGGGATGGATAGGCAGAGTTGGTTATCCCTACCTCACAATAGGGGAAGAAGAGCTGATAGTCCACTCACTTCACTCCAAGTTGAACAGAAAGGAGAATACTCCACTGATCTCTCCCCCTACTTCCATTTATTTGGGACAGCCCTCTTCCAACCTGACTTTTGGCAAGAACCCAGCCTGCCCCATCTCAGATGCGGTTTGACATCAGTCTGGTGTTCAACTTTTTGAAGAAGGAGCGTAGCTTACAGATCTTGCACTTCTTTTTCCTCTTTTTGTTTTTTGGCTTTCCACGCCCTACTTCCCATCTTTCATCCTCTTCTGTGGCCCAAGGTCCCCAGGCGCCACCATTGAAGTCAGGGTGAGCTCGTGGGTTTGCCGCAGGATATTTGACAGGGATGGCTGTCTGGTTGTAATGAACCAGCCTAAGAAGCAGAGCCTTGACCACATCAGGATGCTGGTCTGACAGATCATAGCGCTCGTATGGATCAGCTGTGATGTTGAAAAGCCAGACAGACTGCCGTATCCCATCTGTCAGGCGCTCTAAGTTCCACCAACTCCCTGGGAAGTTGGTCAGAGTCTGTGGTGGGATCCAGTCACTGTAGCCAGGATCTCCAGTAAGAAGTTTCCAGTCTCCCACCCGTAAAGAGGCCTGTACTGCTGTATTCCAGATGCCAAAACCATTCTCTAAAGAGCCATATTTGGCATGATTATACAAAGGGTCGATGTTGTGCAGGATTTCAGTCCGGGGTGATTCTTTGCCCTCGCTGATAGCTGGCCACACATTAAAGCCATCCAAGCCATCTGCTTCAGACACATTGCCCCCAGCCAAAGTCACTAAGGTTGGGTACCAGTCAGTTATGTGGATGAGGGCCCTGCTGGTCCTTCGCTTGCGTTTAATCAGTGGACTGTGGACAAAGCCAATGCCACGCACTCCTCCCTCCCAATATGTTCCTTTGCGGCCTCGCAAGGGCCAGTTGCTTCCCCCAGAGAACGTCTGCCCTCCATTATCTGTAGAGAAAACAATAACACTGTTGTCATAGTAGCCATATTTCTTCAGGGTCCAGGTGATATTCTTCACGGCTTCATCCATGCATGTGACCATGGCAGCATATTTACGGCGGGCCACGTTGCCCATGGAGCGATAGCGATAGATGTATTCCTTTGGGGACTGCAAAGGGGTGTGCACTGCCTGGAATGCTATGTAGATGAAGAGAGGCTCCTTGGGGTTGTGGGTTGCCAAAATTTTTCTGACTCGCTGGGTGTAAAGGAACGTGGAATACTTGCCACTTTGTTCCCAGGCTACATTTTCCCCATCGTGAAGGTCATACCCGCATATTCCTGGCCCGTCACAGTTGTCATACGTATAATAATCCACATTTCCTGTCAGTGAGCCCAGGAAGGTATCAAAGCCCCTGCGGGTTGGCAAGCATTCTTTACGATAAAAGCCTAAGTGCCATTTGCCAACCATGTGGGTAGAATAGCCAGCTTCCCGCAGCTTCTGTGGGAGAGTGATCCGGTTCAGAGGCAAGCAGTTTGGCTGTCGGGGACGGATGATTGAGTGCTGAAGACCTGTGTGGATCTGGTACCTGGGAAGAGAAAGAGAAAGAAAGCAAAGACATCGTCTTAAATTACAATATTTCCACCCCTCGTGAACCTACAGTAACAGGTTTTCCCAAAAGAACATTACTTTACTCGGATTCCTGCCAAAAGCTGTATGCCATTGTTTCAAAGAATCCAAGCTGTTCACTTGTACACATGTATGTAGCATAAACACATTTTTGTTTTTTTATAGTAATTTTATTAAACACTACAGTTAAAAAGCTTTAAACTTTAAATAGAATAGAAAATAGTGCAAAAAAGAAAAATAGAAAGAAAAGTAAAAATGAAAAATAAGAACATAGTAAATACACTCACACACACATATATATACATACGTACATACATACACATATTGACATCACAACAAGTATACACAATTTTAGTAACTTATCACCTTCTTTTAAAATACAAAGTGATCTCTTCTTCCCATTCTTCATTTTCTTATCTATAAAAAGATCCTTAAAGTCTTGTCATTTCAGTCCTGATGTCAGAGATGGTCCATTCAAGATTACCAGAAGCAACATATCTGTTTTAACCTTGATCAAATAAACTAACTTTATATTCCTTTTAATTTTAACAATCCCAATCTTTAATCCTTTTAAAACAATGCCCTAAAATTTTATTTTTATTTTTTTCTCTCTCTTCCCACAAAATTCTTCAAAGCTTTAATAAGTCACTATTGTAAATCCAATATAGGAAAGTTATCCAGATCTCTTTTTTGTTGCTCTTTATATAGTGAGTTGTTTGTATATCCCTTTTAAAGTTAAACGTTTCCCCTATCTACTTGTGTCTGACTCGAGGGGGCAATGCTCATTTCAGGGAGCCAGCATTGTCCAAGACAAGGGCCTTCAAACTTGGCAAGTTTAAGACTTGTGGACTTCAACTCCCAGAATTCCTGAGCTAACATGACTGGAGGAGGAATTCTAGGAGTTGAAGTCCACAAGTCTTAAAGCTGTCAAGTTTGAAGACCCTTGTCCTAAGATATTTCCATGGTCATATAGTCAGTATGACAGTACGCCAAGGCGCATGGAATGCTGTTACCGTCCCACCTTTTTATCGTACTTGTATTTGCATGCTTTTGAATTGCTAAGTTGGCAGGAGCTGGGACAACTAACAGAAGCTCAAGTTTTCTCCTTGTCCAGAGGAATTATGAAGAGCCAGTCTTCTCACCGTTTCTTCATTCCACTGTGGTTGTGGGCTCCTTTTTTAAAGGAGCCATAAACAACCACCAAGTTTGCCCTTTCTTCTCTGGAAGTCTCCAAAATACACACATTTTTAAAGGAAACATAGAATATTGCTAAATTCCAATGCTTTCCGGGACTACTTTAGGCCCTATTGCTTTTCATTTATTTCTTCATATTTGCTCACCACTCCTATTTCCACCTTTACCTCCAATTGAAAAGGTTAATCATGTGCTGAGATTCAAGCCAGAGAGGGTAAAAGTAACAGTAGCAAACAATGGTACAAAAACAAAGATCAGTCCATTATATAATACTTTCTGGATGATTTTCTTGTGAGTATAGATCCAAAGCATAAAATTGCAGTTAACATAAATGCAATTCCAACTTAATTTCTGGAAGATATTCATAACCTTTCAAAATAGGGCAAATCTGATGTAAAAAAAACTGACCTGAAAAAAATCTGTAGCAAGTTTACACTCAGGAGTCAGGACCGCAGTTTCCTCAGATACATCTTGAATGTCATAGAATCACAGAATCGGAGGACACCTAAGAGGTCATCAAGTCCAATCCTCTGCATACTGCGGGATTCCCTGATATATGTCTATCCATGACACTACCAGTTGTACTCAGGCTATGACAGCAAAGTAAAATGGTCATAAGTGCAACACCATGTGACCTCATTGCTCACCAACAGCAGTCCTGGGTGATTTCAGTTGCCATCATAACCTGCAAGATATTCAGCAGGAAGAGGTGGGAGTCGCAGATAAAGTACAGTCCCATGGGAGGTTGGCTGGGGAGAGTGTGGGAGGACCGGTACAGCCCACGCATGAGTTGAGGAAGGTGGGAAGGCCAGCACAGACCCCACATGACTTGTAGGAAGGCCTGGGATAGCCATAAGAAGCTGCAAGAGGTGGAAGAATGCTACAGGCAGGGAATAAGCAGGAGTGACATACTTGAGTAATCCTCCCTGCCAACTTCCCCATTGATTTTGCTTGTGGGAAGCTGGCAAAGAAGATGATTGTGTAACCATGACTGCCTTGATCCAGTAATTGTGAACTTAAGTACCCAGATCTTGGTCATGTGACCACAGCAGTGCTGCAATGGCCCAAATCTTGAGGACCAATTATACATCCATTTGTTCAGCACTGTTGTAACTTTGAATGAGCGCTGAACAAATGGACGTCAGTCAAGGACCATCTTTATCTGTAAATATATCTGATCCATTGTGTGTAACACAAGGCCCAGTGAGTTTCATATGTTATGTAATTAATTTGATATTACAAATTCTGCATAACGCAATCTTTTTTTTTCCAGATGAGAATAATTAGGTATGTTTTGGATAGCAAGCAAAAAAAAAAAAAACAGCATAAGCTTGTTATGAGGCAACACACCGAGGAGAACAGTTTCTTTACAGTCTATCACCTCTGCCAGGAAGACTTTTGGCATCAATACTTCTGACAAATTCAGAATCACAATCAACACTTTTTAGAAAGTCAAAAGTTAAAATTTGAATGGTTTTTCTTTTCAAGATTCACAACGATTCATATTTAAATACAGATGTTGCAGGGAGTCCTTGACTTACGACCACAATAGAGCCCAACATTTCTGTCGCGAAGCGAGAAGTTGTTGATTTTTTGCCCCATTTTACAACCTCCCTTGCCACAGTTGTTAAGTGAATCACTGCAGTGGTTACATTGTTGAGTGAACCATTTGTTAAGTGAACCATTAATTTTGCTGGTCAGAAGGTCGCAAAAGGTGATCACGTGACCCAAGGACACTGCAACAATCCTAAATACAAATCAGTTGCCAAGCAACTGAATTTTGATCACGTGACCTTGGGGATGCTGCAATGGTCGTAAGTATGAAAAATGGTCATAATTCACTTTTTTTAAGGGCCATTGTAACTTTGAATGGTCTCCAAATGAACTGTTGTAGGCCGTCTTCATTTAATGACTACAATTGGGGCTGGCAACTCCGTCATCGTGTGAAAAGGTCACTAAGTAAAACAATGACTGTGTTTATCTTATTTCAGTTTTCCTTTGCTTTACAGACCTGCAAAGGTTATAAATGAAAAGTTGGGTTGTAAAGGTGATTTTCATCACTATCATCATAACTACAAACGGTTGCTAAACAAGGCAGTTACTAAGCTGTTTGTTGTTGATCTCCCTCCACAAGGGATCAGTTCAGCAAGAATTAACGTTTCATATAGACTTGCTTTGTTTTCCGAAAACATTTTATTTATCAACTTCAAAGGACTTAGTCCTTTTAAAACTGAGCCAAATTGGGGCAAAATCACTAGAGTTTTCTGCAAGGGAAGGAATGCCTTATTTTTTCTATAAAAAAGTTGGACTGTGCAACCCATAGAGTGAAATCACATTCATAATTGCCCAGAAATGAAGCCCAAAAGGCTTATTCCCATAATTAAATCTGCAATCCGGTATGTGGATTTCAGGGACATAATTAAATCTGCAATCCAGTATAGGATTTTTGAAATCCACTGTAATATTTATTTTGGAAGTCATTTTATTTAATTTTTTGCCATAGTGGGAAAATGTTAGGGTGTTATATAGCACCTTAAACACTTCCAGATTTGTTATGGTATAAACATTCATACACTGGAGGCGTATCACCTTATTCATGCGATAGGGCCTCCAGTTACCAGGTAGTAAAGCTCCAATGCATAAAAATCTGAGTCTTCCATAAACTACAGGGGTACTCAATATCTATTACTTTCCCTCCAATTCAAAATATTTATGGAAGAAATCCACATGCTTTTGCCTCATTGTTAAATTGAATGTCTTGTGATACGTATGCAGGTATTGGCACTCTGAAATTGGATAGAAAAGTAAATGGAGATAGTTTAGCTACCCACAAAGCAGATGTCTACCTTTCTAGAAGTGTCTTAGGAAAAGTCAAATGTTTCGCAGTGAGTCTTAGAAAAGACTAACCTTCCCATAATTCTCCAATCCCCAAACTTTTTCCCCTTTTTCTCAGGAATAATTACCGCTGGCTCTGAATCTGTCCACCTGCCCCATCCCAACACACACACACACACACAAACACACACACACACCACATACACTGTTGATTTGGAATGAGTAGCTGTGGGAAATTAAGCATGTTTTATGTCTGACAGATGCTTGGATGATGAAAATAAGGCAAGTTTTTTTTTTATTTCTGGCTCATGGACAGCAGAGCAAGCCACTGAAAATCTGTCAAAACATAAAGATCTGTCCAATACAGAGTTTCCACCCAGAAATGTTCATTTTGGTGTTTAACGAATATGTAGAACTGGACTGTAGCACTATTGGTAGGATAATTGTAGCAGAAAAGCAAAAAGCACAGTTCATGCAATGTTTGGGCGGAAATTTTCGTGATATCCTCTCTGTCTGATATGCTTCAGTTTGCTAAGGAAAAATAAATTATTCTGGGTTTTAGAAAGCAAGATGTCTTTCTTCCCCCTTTCTTCCCTCTATATGGTACATCCTATATTTTATATGGCAAGGATGCTTGAATCCCCAGGATCAAGAGGTACAGCAGGGAAACCTCCTACGTGAAATCTGTAAATGGACTTGTGGTCAATGTTGCCAGTACTGGACCAATAAAGTAACTCAAAAGAAAACTTTTGCTTTAGGTTTTGACTAACTTTTCAGCGGCCTATTTAGTCCAATGTTATTATCATGGATACGTACATTGTTAATCTCAAGCCAGACTGTTTCTTTAAAAGGGATGTTAAATAGCCTTCATTGCTAACAAAGTAAATGAATTTTTTGCATTAATGTTAGCGAGTAATGATCTGAAAGACTGATGAAATCCTGTTGATTCTCCAAATGCTGCTGTTTCTGTCCTCATCGTAATCCATTCTATAACTGCATTTTAATTGTATATATAAGTTTTAATTTTATATACAAGTACAAGTTTTAATGGTATGTGGTGTGAATCTTAATGGTAACCTGGTACGGGAGATCAGTAATATTATTTCCATATAAATAAGGAGCAAACAATATAAGGTAACTTTTCTCAAGACAAACTGGCTTCTCTCTGAAGGGAAAGTTGTCTGAACTGAAAAGTGATGCCCATCCATTGAGTAGCACTGTCTGTACACCAGAATTTTTATGTTTTAAAAGCCTAATCCTATGAAATACAGGCAATATTTCATATTACTCATCACTATGCTTCCTTATTACTGTTTGCGCATCAACACCCTTCTGATTTAACTAATGCAGTGAAATCCATTTACCGTTTTTACTCATTATTATTACTCATCATTATGCCTCATCCCTACTGTCTGCACATTAAGTTAGCCCAGCTTTGAAGCTCTAATACAATAAAATCCATCTAACATTATTGCCCTCCAAAAAGGCTCGCCAATATTCCGCTCCTTAACACTTTAATTTTGAATCCTGAACAACCACATTCTCTCTTTAAAAATAGCGCGGTTTTGTCTTTCTTTCGCTTTTCCCAATTAGGTTATTCATCCTGCCCCTCTTTTTTATGATTATGATTATTTGAAAGTAAACTTATACAAGTTTATCCGGCGGGACGGCCTTGGCTGAAGTTCATGGGCTTCCTTCGGGCTTCCTCTCCAGAAGCCACCTGGGGCTTTTCTTTTCCCTTTGGCGCCTGCATCTGCCCCGGAGTTGCTTCTCCCGTCCGGTCCCCTCAACTCACCTACCCACCCTCTTGGATCGAGTGGCGTGAAAGAGGCGCTTCTGCCCCTCCTTACCTCCCCGTGATAAGCTGACTCCTGGAAGGCGTGCAGATGGGCTGGATGTAGTAATTCTCCAGCTTAACCCCTTCGGCAGCCAACCTATCCAGCGTCGGCGTCTGGATGTCCGAGCCGTGGTAGCCCACATCGTGATAGCCCTGGTCGTCGGTCAGAATGAAAACGATGTGGGGAGGCCTGGAGAAAGCAGGCGGGAGGCGAGGTTTCCCCGCCGGGTCCCCCGAAACCTCGGTCACCAGATCGGGCTTCATCCAGTCCCAGGATAAGTAGCCGAAGCTCAGCAGGCTGACCAGGGAGAAGCCAGTCAAGGAATAGACGGCCATGCTGGACCGAGCCCCTAAGACTGGACGAGAGGCGCTTAAGCTGTCGGCATCTCCCGCCAATGGGGCAAATCTCGCCCGGCCGCCCGTCTCGGCCAGCGGGACTCCCCTCGCTCAAGCCGAGCGGAAGAGCGGCCGAGCTCGTTAAAATCGCCCGCGGGAAACGCCTCAGGGATGGGATTCGTCCCGGCGGCTCGATTCCGGAGCAGAGGCTGCGGCGTCGAGGGAGAGAGGAAAGGGGAAGGGAGAGGCGGCATTCCCGCCAGGTGTGCGGGCTGTCAGCGCCAGACCTTTTGCCCAAGTCTAAAAACTTTTCCCGAAACTCGCGCCCAAGTTCAGCTCCATCGCCGCCGAGTCCCCTCCTCCCTCCTGGGCGGCGGGACTGGGCTTCCCTTATCTTTACGCCCCGTCCCGACGGAAAGTCTGGGCCAGGAGGGGCATGTCATGTTGCCTCACCCCTCCCTCGGTGGCTTCCCTTCCCCACCACGTTTCTTCTTCGGATTCCGCACCCCCCCCAACCACTCCGCCCCGCCCGCCCTACCAGCTCCGTCCTCCAAGTATGTCAAACTTCCACCCCATCCCAGTCCCGGATGCTTGTTTGGAAATATGGGGGCAACGCAGCCAGGGAGAAAAATGTCCCTTCAGACAGAAACCGAGGGGGAGAAATGTGAGAAGTTGTACAACATCTGCGTGGGGAAGGGATCCCCTTTCCTAAGAGGCCTGTAGGGGGCGTGCACAAGCGCACCAACGTGCCTACCGTCCCTGTCCTATTGTTTCTTTTATTTTTTATTTTTCTTATATGTATCCATGTATTCATAACTATGTTTTTACTTATACCTATTATCCTGTGAGCAATAGACATAAATAAAAATAAATAAATGAATGAATGAATGAATGAACTAATTAATTAATTAATTAATGGTTCTGAAGAACTCCACTCCTTTCATTGATTCCCAGGGAACTGGCCGTTGAGATGTCTGCCGCTTCCTGGGTCCTAAGACGAGTTCGCTACCCGTCTCTCCAGTCCAGTAGATCCAGGAGTCAGTTCTTCATCTTGTAGAGTAAAAGTAGCGAGGTCTCGTCCTAACCAAATTTGGATTCCCCCTGACTCTGTGAACACGCAGTCTGATCCAGTTGTATGGACAGTGTTACAGAAGTGGTTCCCCCACCCCCTTCATTTCCCCTCTCTCTACCAGGGTCTTCCCAGTCTAGTTCCAAGTCCTAGGTTCCTTGGTGGGAAGTACGTCCAAGTTCTGACTATAACCAGCCCTGATAAATCCAGATTAGGTATTCTTATCAATTGGGTGACCCTAGCAACTTTAATAAATTGAACTGAATTGAATATACCCATATGCAAAAAAAAAAAAAATCACCTGGCAAGACTTATTAGTTAGGGCGACCTTATCTGAGCTGCTAAAATCAATACGTGGCATCAGATACTCTTGGTCTACCTGCCTCATGTAAAGAGGCCCATGGAATCTCTCCAATTTTCCATGTCAGACACAGACAGAGATTTCTTCTTTTCCTGCCATCCTTTCCATTACCAGAGAGCTAGACAGTGGCTGGGGATGGCACAAGCTTGCCCCCATGGTTTAGTAAATTAACATAATGTTCAGACATTGCCCAACGTATAACCCACGAGATCTATGATTGGGGGCTGCCAGAGGTCTGTGAGAGCATTGTAGAGAACTAGGTGCAGGCACTAAAATATGAATGTCCCAAAGGTGCTTTTTTAGGAGGCAACTGGTTTTTCCTTTGAAGACATTTCCCTTTTAAAAGGACGCAAATGACCAGCTGTCTGCAAGGAATATAAATCCTTCCATTCCATTATATTCCACTATAACTTCTCAAGTTCCCCACTTCATGATAGCCAGAGGATCTCCCCACCCCACCCCGCCCACCAAGAGAATGAACTTGATGAAGCTCTAAGGCTTTAGCCCTGAATGAAACCTTGGACAGCTGCTGCCAAATGAGAATTTAGAGCAGGGGTGTCCAACCTTGGCAACTTTAAGACTTGTGGACTTCAACTCCCGGAATTCCTCAAAGCTGGCTGAGGAATTTTGGGAGTTGAAGTCCACAAGTCTTAAAGTTGCCAAGGTTGGACACCCCTGATTTAGAGGGTGTGGGCTGTCCATATCAGCCAGTCATTAGGACTTGTTATCCAAACCCCTGGAAAGCAAGAAGCTGTCTATTCCAGACATCGTTCATATGATGTCTGCTTCCCTGCATAAGGTTGTCTTGCAGATGCCTTACTGGCCTTTTTATAAACATGCATCAATGCCTTTCCTCTCCTCCCCAGCCAAGGCCAGTTAACTTTATTTGTTTCTAATCATCATGAAATTAGTGCTGTATAAGTATATGTATAAGTTCACCCACTTGGGTTGAGGCAGCCTGGGATGGAATCTGCCCAGCTCATACTGACTACTGTGGGTTGCTGCAGGCATACCCAGACTCTGCTCTCTGGGGTGACTGCCTATTTCCCTCCACAGCTATGTTTATTTGCACTTTTTTGATTGATGTGACACCAGCAGTGCCAATATTATTGGAGGATGCAGTAGACCAGAACCTCTCTAAAGCAACCAGTCAGGATATTTCTACACAGATCAGGCAGACAGGCAACACGGAGCATGTCTTATATTTAAAGGTTCTGACAGATAACTATCACTTCCTCCCCTAGCCTCAGTCCTCATCAGCCATTGGTAAATGTTTTTCCTATTGGCAGGGAAATTGGCCAATTGCTGCTTTAATATAGGCTGCCTTGAACTGCTAGGGCAGCACCACTCAATGGCCTCATTCGAGAGGGAGGGTAAAGTCCAGTTAAGTAGACAGGGAAAATAAAGTGCATTAAGCTGACTACATTAGATGGGCCAGGTATCTGAAATAGGTTCTTCTCTTTCTTTATTAATTTTCAGGAATAACTAATAGGTCTGAATAAAGGAGTAAAAACTAATGTCATGACAACTGAAATACAAATGAAATGCCTTTTTGCATGAAATATTTCCTGGAGATTGGCAGAACATGATGAACTAATAGCAATAGCAATAGCAACAACACTTCAACTTATATACTGCTTCATAGTGCTTTACAGCCCCCGCTGAGCAGTTTACAGAGTCAGCATATTGCCCCCAACAATCTAGGTCCTCATTTTACTGACCTCAGAAGGATGGAAGGCTGAGTCAACCTTCAGCCAGTGAGACTCAAACTGCCAACCTGCTGGCAGCCGGCAATCAGCAGAAAGTAGCTTGCAGTACTGCACTATAACCACTGCGCCACCCAGACTCCTAAACTAAAACATTATTAGTTATTTTGTGCTTCCATGTTGTACTATACAGAGGCAGTTGGTTCAACTGGGCTTTAGTTTAATGTGTGGCAGAAAGGCATGCAACTGAATTCAATGAATTACAATCCAGATAATTAAAGGATTGCATGCGGTGTGGGAACACCTGTTGAAAAGCCTCAAATCAGTAGGGAAAAGAGAGGCTCTACCAGAAACTTACCAGCCTGTAAGGCACAACCTTTCAGTTTTGCTTCTAGAAATTGAGACGGTCTTCACCTGCCCATTATAGTAAATCAATTAGAAAAAGGCAACAGATAGACAAACCTCAAGATAATGTGGGTGTTATTATAAACACTGCAGCTTTCCCATTCAAAAAACGCTGTATAAATTCCCCTTGTTAAAACAAAATGAGACACTTAACCACTACCAGTAAGTTGCTTAACCTCTACCAGTAAGTTGAATCATAGGGCAGCAAAGCTATGCATAAACATACCAAATGCCATTATTGGATTAGGGTAATACATCACACAAGAGGAAAATCCTGTTTTAAACAATCAGTCTAAAAAGATGGTGGTGTTCTAAAGTGTTTCAGTCCTTGTTGAGGAAATTATATCTTTTCCATTAACCTTACTTTCAGACAGACTGCAAATCACAGTGAAGACATGAGGGAAATTTCTGACTCTGCACTAACTTACTTTGAATTATATAAATCTCTTCACAAGCAGAAACCGGTGTGAGGAGTGTGTATTTGAAAATTAAAATGGAAGTGTTAGAAGAAAAGATCAGAAAATGTGGAGAGACCAGAGGTGAACTCAACTGAATGGATAACATCATCATCATCCTTGTCATCAAGACCTCTAAGGACACCTTTAGGTTAAGAACAGCACCCTGAAACACAACTGGAAACCATCTGGTGTCTGGCAGAAATAATAAACTCAGACATAAAGTACGCCAATAGCTGTGTTGGTGATTAGCTGCTTGGGATTTTAGTTTTCAACAACTGAATCTTCAAGGACAATCCCATAAAGTTTTTTTTTCCTCTGGGATGAAGAGTTCGTGAGATGGAGTTCATGAGAAAAACTGCTGTAGAAGGTATTGAACCTGCTGAACAGACTGGGCTGTAGATCAAATAAATAGTCAAATATTATGATCAATGATGAGGGATAACTGGAGCTGCAACTCAGCAACCTTTATAGCTGGTCATTTGGATTTCACCTCTGGTTACAGGGGTGGCTCTGCAGTCCCAAGCCCAGATTCTAGCACAATGGAGGCACTGGAAGTCCAATGTTGTAGTAACTGTGGTGTTGTTCTGTGATACCATTCATGGTTTTCTATCTGTTTTTGAGAGCACCTTCATAGCTGGTGGAGGCAACATCTATAGCAATAAACATTCTTCACCATTGCTCTTGCACTTACACCACATTGACAGTGCTGACCCAAAGTAAAAACAACTCAAAGTTGTGTTGTACATGTCTATGGTTATAATTGCAGCCACCCATACTTTAGGTCATGTGTGCATACAAGTCCACCATTCAAATTTTAAAGTGAAAAAAAGTGAAAATAACAATATATTTCCATCTAGAGAATTAGACCAAATAATAAGCAAATTTGTTTGGGATGGGGAAAAAGCCCAGGATAAAAATGAAATTACTGCAGAATAAAAGAGAAAGGGGTGGCTTTGGACTCCCTGACTGAGAAATGTATTACTAGGCAGCTGCTATGGTAT